AAAGCATAATAATATTTAATTTCTAATTTCAAAGTTTAATTTTTTCAAAATCTCATATTTCAATAATTCTGAAAATTTTGAAAAATAATTACACATTAATTTTACCAAAATAATCACTTGCAAAATTCATGCTAATAAATACCTTTTATAAAATCCGTACTAGTAACACCATAATAACTACTTATAAAATTCATATTATTAATTTAACTATATCAAAATTATTTTTTAAAGGATCATATATTGTTATTTTACCACAATAACTACCTACCTTATCTTTGCTAACTGTTCAAAATTTCTCTAAATTGTTCCTTCGTTCCACGTAACGACTTACTCGGGTACTGTTTTTTCTCTGAATTTTGGGTAGAATCTTGAGGTATTTTAGGTCTATGTCTTTCGTCAAAAATTATCATAATTACTATCTAAATTTAAATTCTCAAAATATTACAAAATTAAATATTAAATTTATAATAATTTCAAAAATTCTTTACCTTGGAGGCTTCTCGGGTTTAGCCTTTTTTTTCACTAATTTATTTTCAATTTCTTCTTTTTTTTTCCTTCTTTTTCCTTCATCCTTGCTCTTCTTTCTTCTTCAAAAAGTTCTCCAAATTTTTCCCACAAACTCTTCCTAATTTTCATCCCACTCACAGCTTCCTCTTGTTGTTGGGAATGATAGATTTTAGGTGTCCCTGCCAATTGGCAAATGATACAACTATATTCCTATCTCATGATAATAGATCTATCTCTAATGCATTTACTTTGGGATGGGTGTTTGAACATATGTTTAAGCATCACATTAACTTCACAAAATTTCAGTTGATAGGTATTAATATGCTCGACAGTACATGGTTTAGAGGCTATAAGTTGTATGACCCTAGCATGACTCGCTTCATATCTTGGGATTCCTTTGAGAGGTAATTTTTGGTGCAAGTTGTTTTGGTATGGGTTGGTTAATTAAGTGTCTATGCAACTAGAAAATTGAAAAGGAGGTCTTTTTTTTATGAAAGGCAGGTAACTCTTATTCAGGCATGTTTGTCTTGCATCCCTATTTATTACACGTCTATCTTTCAGGTCATTGCTAGTATAATTGAATGCTTAAAGGGGTTATGAGGAATTTTAATGGGCCAGGAATGGTGAGGAAAGGAGAGATCGCTTAGTAAAATGGAAGGTGTGTTACAGCTTTAGAACTTTTAGAGGTTTGGGCATCAAGAACCTTAAGTCTATGGACTTATCATTATCCGTTAAGTGGCTATGGCATTTCTCACAGAAACCAAATTCTTTGTGGCGTAAAATAATCAAAAGCATTTATGGGAGTAAGTGGAATGGTATAGGTATAGTTTCCATGAGATCCACCCAAGATAAGTTCAAAGAAAGTCATTTATAATTTTCTTAAACTCTATATGCCAATTACCAGGTATAAAATTGGGGATGGCTCTAAGGTCCCTTTCTAGGAGGACCTTTAGAGGGGCGATCTAC